ACATTAGATTGGAACTGGGCAGTTTTCTGCAAATGGCCATAAGATATGTACATCAGAACTGTGCAAGAGTATACGCAGGTGCAAAAGTGTGCGTGTGTGATGACTCAAGCATGTGCCCATGTAGACATGCATGCCTGCACATGCACACAGAAACAAGGAATGGTCAGTAGATACCAAAAAATGACACAGGCTTAGAAACAGCTACTGCTTGTTTAACTCTGGAGTATTCAATGGGGGCCCCATTCATATGGGCCACGCTCTCAAAGCAGCCCTCTGGAGTTGTGTGGTGAACAGCTCAGCCTAGTCATCACTCTTCAACAATGAAGTCTGGCGTAACTGCTTATCAGGCAGCCGAGTATGTACCGTGGTTAAGAGGTGGGCTCTGGAAGGAGTGCTTCTGAGTTCAAGTCTCAGCTCTATTAGCTGAAAAACCTTGGGTAAATTAGTCAATGTCCCTGTTCTTCAGTTGTTTCCTCATCTGTAATGTGGGAACAGTAATAATATGTAATCTCACAGGGTGGGTTAAAGTAAATCAATACATGGAAAGTCCCAGTGCCTGGGTCCTAGAAAGTACTCCATAAATGATGGCTTTAACAAAAAGCTGAGCTCTGGTAGACAGGAAGTAAGAGTAGATATCTTCCCCCAAACAGGTGCCACTTTATAAAAATCCTAGGTACCTATTTCTAAACACTAGAAGAAAAAAAATCTGCCTTAAGATTATATTGTCTATAAGAATAAGGATTCTGGAATTAGTGAAACATAATGAGATTTTAATTACAAATGTCTTTTAATAAACCACATCTATTAAACAGCAAACAGTAGCTAGAAATGAAGATGTACTTGATTTAACTGACATTAAATGAGACCATAAGAGGAAAATCTTTTTAAAGAAAAAGAGGAAAAAAAATATTGGGTATGCGCTGGTAGTGCATACCCTTTTACACCCCTTTTACACTGAGGTGTAAAAGGGACATCCCTCTGTCAGAAACCAAGCTGCCCCTCAGTAATTACATGACCTGTTTCCTTACAGTATCAGCAGGCTACCAGACCTGCACCACTGCCTTCACCACAAACTGCTCTTCACTCTGGTACCTCACAAGCACATAATCCAAGACCAAGAGGAAACTGCTAGTCTCACTCATTGCACGGATGGAAAAACTACGTGACCCAGATAATGGCGGCCAAGCTGGCATCAAAATTTACGTCTCCTGACTTCCAGGCCAATATTCTTTGCATCACAGGAAGCTTGCTCCCATTTCTAAAAGGATTTCCTGTCCTATGACACCAGCACAGGGGTGATTCAATTCATGGGAGCACACTGCTGGCACTGAGATGAGGTATGATGAAATGAGCTATTGGTATATTCTCTAGAAAGGCAGCATATTAAAAAACAAACAAACAAACAAACAAAAACACCACACCAGCACTACAGGCAAGATTACTAGGGAGAAAACACTGCCTCGCCATGCTGTCTATGATGTTACAGGGTTTGACTGAGGAGTCACTATCAGAAGGGCAGAAGGGTGCAGTGGTAAGAATATTCACAGTCTGACAGTTTAGTGCTGGCCTCCCTGTGTCTGAAGATCTTTGGGAGACCAGCTAACTTTATTCATCTGTATAATTAAGGGCATTAGCTGATGCTCCCTGAACTCTCCAGCTTTAAACAAAGGACACCTTTGATTCCACAGGAGTCTCCGCAATGAGAAGAAACATTTCTAGGTTCTGGTGGAAGCAAAAAGAAAGTATCTTCACTGAATTTGAGAAAAATTGGGGTTTTCCCAGGAAAGGAAGCATTCAAGCCAAAACTAAACCAAGACAGAATGAAAATACCTTGGGCTAAACCAAATACCATGAACACTGTACTGAGGAAGATGGTACCATCTTGGGAGAGCCGCCACTTTGTTTTGCTGGCTTATTTTTAATTTTCCAGGAGCCATCTGTTCCATGACACACAGGGGTACTTACTGGAAAGCTGCTTCTGGAGCTGCCGCACCAAGGCGGCCGTCTGCTGCTGCTGCTGGGTCTGCTGCAAGCCTTGCCTGGGAAACTGTAATGGCGACAGGAGAAAGGACAGAAATCATTCCATGGTGCCAATCACAGACAAGAACAGAGACTAACTTGTAGGGCCACTCTGTAAGGTACTTCTCAACACTTCATGAAAAAAGGGCCATGACCAGTGTGTGTGGATTAATTTTCATCTACACCTTGTTGTACCTCTGGTGAGCATCAGAAGTACCCCATCTATTCAGGAACCCACACTCCAGGTTATTAGTTGGCATTTATTTGAAGAGCCCCAATGAAGAACTCCACACTACAGACGTAGCTCAGCAGTTCAAAGATCCTGGTCATCTCACCCTTTACCAGCTAGCTCATGAGGATCACGATATTAATATTGGCAAAATGAAAGCTCTCTGGTTGGAAGATTTGTTCAAGGACTACAGGCTGTGCCTTGCACGAATGGGAGAAAAGAATCTGGTGAGGCAGAGTGGTGCCCTAGGACTGGGGCTCATTTGGGACTATACCCTCCCCATGTGATGGAGGATGAAGGTTCGCTAATCCCACCCTCAGAGCCAAGGCCTGGGCAGGATGAGTGAGGCACTAACTTTAAGAAAGTGCTAATTCCCAGGGCCATGCAAATACAGGCTCTGTAGCAAGAATCAGGTTAGAGGCATAATATAGGCGGCCACATGCCCTGATTCTATCCACTAAGTTCATGCAAGAAATTGTGGTTATTCCAAAGGGGAAAAAAATCAGCATCTACTAGAAGCAAAATTACTTTTGGTTAGAATCACTGGTAGTGCCAATTTACCTTTTTATCTTAATCTTCAAATTTCAGACTATCGTTTTCTCCCTTTTCTTTCTTTCCCTTCTCTCCTCCTGGTCTGTCACTGGCATAAAGGAGGCGTTCTGACACAGGCACATACATCAGCACTGTGCTGGCTGTTTCCCATGTGCCCACCCTCCGTGTGCTCACCAGGCTGCCTGTGTGGAGAGCATCAACAAGGCTGGCCCCTCTGCCCTCCGACTTCTCGGTGGGCAGGGGGTGCTCCCAGGAGACTGGAGCACAGGAGCACAGTGAGGCTGGGAGGGAGCAGAGGGAAGTTTTGTTTTTGCCAATTTTCCTCCATGAGAATCTCTGCTGGCTGGATGCGCCCCACTCCAGGAAGGTTGCAGCTCCGGTCAGGTACCCTCCCCACCTCTCTCCCCTTCTTGTCCCACTGGGATTAGGGGCAGTCAGTGAGTGCGCCATCACCCATGGCTGGTTTTCCATACCTTTGTAATTCGTCTTTTGAAAAAGACTCCTCAGTTACCTAACGCAAGTACAACATCTATTTCCTCCTCAGAGCTTGCCAAGAATAGCCCAGGATTATAAGTACAGTTGCCAGATTTAGCAAATAAAAATACAGCATGTCCAGTTAAATGTGAATTTCAAATAAACAACGTTTTAGTTCCAAGCATGTCCCAAATATTGCACATGATAAATACTACATTTGGTGTAAGTATATTCCATGCAGTACTTGGGATATACACTGACATGTTATTCGTTGTTTACTTGAAACTCAAATTTAACTGGGAGCCATGTATTTTATCTGGCAATCCTATCTTATCCTCTATTTAGAGGGCATTACCAAGTTGATACTTTTAAAACTGAATATTTGGCATGACAGCTGGTTCAACTGTTTCTCTCCCACCAGACAGTGAGTGACTGAAGGACAAGGGCTTGGCCTATCTACTGATGTATCTGTAGTGTCCAGCCCTGCCAGGCACACAGCAGGTACTCAGTAGCAACTGATGGAATGACTAATTCTAAGAGCCTTCAATTCCCACAACTTTCCTAATAACAAGAAAGATCCACAAAACTAATGAACTATTTCCTCCACCAATGTTACTATTTTCCCCAATACAAATTAGAGAAGCAGCAGCTTGCCATTTTATTCCATTGCCCAAATCAAGAGTAAAAAATAAAAATCTTTCATTTATATGGAAATGTTAGTAAAGTAAGTATTCTTTTCTATTCAGTAGTTTTTATGCTTGGGGAAACTACCTTATTTATTTAACAAAACCTTATATTGTACTATCAGGTACTATTCCAGACTTTCTATGTGTCTATTAGCATATTTAATGCTGACTCAGCTGTAACTGTCCTCAATCTCTTATCCAAAGTCCTAAGACAGATATGTGCTTTGGAATCTGAACATATGCAGTTTACTAAGAAACATTCCTAATATGCAGACCAGGCAAAATGTAGGACAGCACTCCATAATCAAGCATATTACATTTCTGTAGCAAGCACATGAATAATTATATCAGGTAGGATAAATGAAAAGAGCCTCACGTCTATTCAGGTCAGCTTTTGCCACCAATGAGTTCATGTCAAATTTTCCTGTTCACTTCTGACTGGTTAAGACATTTCACTGCAGTAAACACATTTAAAATCTACTTTTAGCAATTCTGGAGTATATATTATTAACTATAGTTACCTTGCTATGCATTAGATCAACAAAACTTATTCCTCCTGTCTAAATGAAACTTTGGACCCTCTGACCAAACACTACATTCCCCTCAAGGCTATCCATGATTGAAAATATCAACTTCCAAATATTAACTTATTCGGAAATAATTACAGATTCTAAAAGGCTGTCTATAAAGATGTTTAAGCTGATTGAATAGCACATTGGGGTACATGGTGTATAAACATTCAACATTTATTCTTTCAACAAACACGTAGCTGCCTTCTTTATGTTCATTTAAAGCCTACTTCAAATAGAGTATTTCACAGAATAAAACACTATGTGGTTGCCTCAGATACTACACTTTGCAGAGCCTAGGCAGTAATGTCTACACGTGTGTGCGTGTGTGTGTTGGGGAGTGCAAGGTGGTCTGAGGGTGGCTTAAGAGGCAGTACATAGTCAGAGGGCCTCAAATTGTGATCCAGGGATTCCTGGGAGAGGTCCCCAAGACTCTATCAGGTTACCTGCAAGCTCAAAACCATTTTCAAAATAATACTAAGACATTATCTGCTTTTTTCACTTATTTTCTGATGCACATACATTACAGCTTTCCAGAGCCTACATAACATGTGCTATTACAACAAATCAAATGTTCTCTATTAAACCAGACATTGAAGAAATTTTCAAAAATGTAAAACAGGCCAGGCACAGTGAGTCACACCTGTAATCCCAGCACTCTGAGAGGCCAAGGAGAGCAGACAGCTTGAGCCTCGGAGTTAGAGACCAGCCTGGGCAACATGGCAAATCGCCATCTCTACAAAAAATTATGAAAATTAGCCAGGCATGGTGGTGCATGCCTGTAGTTCCAGCTACTTGGGAGGCTGATGTGGGAGGATCACTGGAGCCCAGGAGGTCAAGGCTGCAGTGAGCCGTGATTATACCACTGCATTCCAGCCTGGGTAACAAAGAAAGACCCTGTCTCAAAAAAAAGTAAAACCATGTCATTCTCAAATAACTTTATTTTGAAACATATGCCTATTTTTCATAAAAGCATGCTACTTTCAGTAACATGAGTTTATCTTTAGGTACTAAACATAACAATATTTGGTATTAACAATATTTTTGATTTCTAACATGGTAAATATTGATACAGAAAAGCTCTTTGGGTCTGCAATAATTTTTGAACATGAAGGGATTCTGAGGCCAAGAAATTTGACCAACTTCCTTAAACTGACCAGAAATACATGGTCTATGTCTACAATCGTCTTACAGTGTTTCACCACATCTGCTTCCTCTTAAGGCCTCTGAATACAAATTTTAACTTGCTTTCACCTGTACATGCACAGGCACTAGGCCCCAGATGCAATTTCTCTGGGCTCTGGAGCACCTGCCACCAGGAGACGAGGGCTGCCTCCAACATCCTACAGAAGCCTCACCACTGAGCATTTCAATTCAAAATGTACCCCTCCTGTGAAGAACTGAACCCTGTATGTGGCTGAGGAAGCACAAAATCACTGGCAGAAATTGAAAGGATTATCCTCCTGGGACTCCTTTCTAAACTTCCTGAATTAGAATTTCTGTAGCTAATGTGCTAGAAATCTGAATTTCAAAATGGCTCCCCCAGGTGGTTCATGTGCTTGGTGAGATTTTGGAATCATCACTGCAGTGGGAGTTGAATTTTTAATTTACCAAAACAGGTCAATAAATAGGTTCAGTGAGGTGTAACTAGAGGTCCCCCAAATCATAATCTATGTACGTTTTGCATTCCCTGTTCAAATGTGAGAAATGAAGTGGAAAAGATTCTTTTGGCCCATATCCATACAGGAGATGATCTCTCCCCTCTGTGCCTTTGCAGATGTTCATCCCTTCTCCTGGAATACACTTCCTCCCCACTTCGTTCCACTCTACCCTTCCCATAGATCTACTCATCCTTCGAAGATCAGCTGAAGTTATCATCCATTCCCTCATGCATTTAAAGAGTGAATCACTGCTTTTGTACCCTTAGTACTGTGTAAATGCCTCTATTAGCAAACATGGTTTAACATGATAATTGCTTCTCTCTCAAGGATTCTGGATTTTTATTTCTCAGAGGCAGAAGCCGTGTCATGCTCCTGCTGTAACCACAAGACCAAATAGCCAGCTTAATACCGTCAGGTGTGACTAATCAACATGGCATACCCACTCTCCAGGAAATACCATTGTTTGCTGAATTAAAAAAAAAAAAAAAAACGCAAAAAACAAAAACAAAAATGTATTTACTGTAGTTCCCAGGTACTTGGAAGGCTGAGGTGGAAGGATCACTTGAGCCTAAGAGTTTGAGGCTGCAGTGAGCCATGATCACACCACTGCACCCCAGCCTGGCTGACAGAGTGAGACTAAATTAAAATTAAAATTCTGAAAATGTCTTTTGATGTATTTTTACTTTTATTCAATAACATTTACTTCTTCTGCTCAATCACAGCAGAGGTAAAAATGTGCTGCTAATTAGTAATTTCTATTTAAATAAACATCACTTAAATATTTTTTGTCTTAAAACTTGAGCTTGCCCCATCAGCAGAAGCATATACTGACAAGATCAGCCACAGGACTGATGCAG